GTGTGGTCTGCACTCGACGCGCTTCTAGTTTTTTGAAACGGAGGGTATACTTCAGCATGTTTCGGCTTCTATCATACCGTTGTTTCTGCTATAACCACATGTATCCGTTTCACACACAACTTGACTCGATTCCACCACTCTTATGCAATGAATCAATACGAATATGAAACAATCAAGTTATACAAAGGAACGTACCACGAAAAAGTTCCACCTGTAGCCGAAGTAATGGTTTCTTTACTGGAATACTTGGACAGAAACTCTCGAAGATTCTCGACAATCACATATGCATCGTCATCGGCTCTCAAGTACCAGTCGTACTCTTCATCAATGCCATCAACAACATGGCTGCAAATGAACTGCAATCAAATGACATCGAAACTTGTCCACGCGCAATATTCGGCGCTATCGCAATATACGGGGACATTCCGTAAGCACCTGCCAATGTTTCGTTAACGTGTCTGAAGCTGTACATGTTCAAAAGTGTCAAGTAGTTGTCTGGAGTACAGATAGAAGAGCGCATGCTTCACGTCATGCTATGGCAAAGCCTTTTATAGGGTGAAAAAAGAGAGTTTTCAAGGCGCTATCACAAGATTGGGGGCATTGTGGTGGAAATGAATTTCACACTGCGTGAAACATTTCAAAAATGAGATTACGCGCTAGCTGGAGAACAAGAGACTCTAGCTGGCGTGAACGGTTCTTTTGTTTCTCCGATATTGCTGAACCTCCTGGGCTCAGTTCTAGTGGATGCCCCCGTATCTTGCAATAGCGCCCAAAAGGAATAAGTACAAAATCAAAAAAGGAATTCACTGGAATGAACGTCGGCACTAGGCCAGGATATACACATTCTCTCGCGTTCTAACCCGAACCAGGTTTTGGCAAGTATGTACCCACGAATTGACCGAACGCACACGTTTAGACAAAATGCCCCACATACTGCGATAGCGCCTAATATTCATATCAAACCTGAATATTCTTCGAATCTTCTCCCATGAGTGATCTCTCGAATACAACTCCTTCCAATAAATGTGAGGGATATCCGGTGACATCGGAGAATCGGTAAAGAATATGAAATCGTCGCATCGCTTAGCCCATGTTTCCAAAATTGTTTGTGCCTGAATATTTCACCGGAAATGAGGTTGAAATGCGAAACCGAGCGAACCTATATTAGCAACGATGGCGCTACCACATTGTATTCAGTGAGAATTGAGATCATTGTGACATTCATGGAGAACCCCAGCACCACCTCCATTCAGATATTCCAGGAGTCCTACTTGACCTACACTCAATCTAACAAAGAGAATGGCAGATAACTCGACAAAAAGCAGAACGGTAACCTTCAATTTCTCCAAATGCCCTGTATGAACGAAATTTCTCCCAGATAATTGAGAATCTTCCCTTCAAATATATACAAAGCTAGATTCATCGCGCGTATCCTTAGGGAGGAAACCAATCCCTACATTATTAAACA